ACCATAGGGATTGTGATGTGGGTTTCTATAAATCACAGGTTCCTAGGTTATCAAGACCGGTCAAACGAAAAATAGAATCCCCTCCGCTGGTACCCTCTATAAAACCCCCGCTGCCCCCCGTTCAATTGAAGTCCAAAGGCACTCCCGTCCTGCCAATCTTCATTCCTTGCGATAAAGATCTCCAACTCCCCAAGTTTTCACAGAACCTCGTGAGAGCCATGGAGCCGACCGTTGCTATCCGAGATCTTGATTTGAAGGAAATTGCTGAACTCCGGGAAATGTCAGAAGGCGACGTGCATTTTCAAAATGTTTCGGATAAAGAGCTACGCAATTGGATCAGTGAAAACCCAGAACTGGTTGAGCACAAGGACTTCCGATACGAGTACAACTTCCTCTCACAGCGGTTAATAATAAAATGTATGCCCACTCCGACGCACGACTCATTGCAGTACTTCTTTACGCAAACTGTTTTTGGAACATTTGTCGAAAAAGTTGGGTTATTAAAAGCCCAAGAGTTAGTCACTACAGGTGCAGGCACTTGTAAGTAATGACAGTGGATGAATTATTTATGGAATTTAACTAATGATGTTTAGCTTTTACTGGGTTTGAAGGGGACCGGTGTGGGTCGACGGAGAAACTCCCTGATGCCTTCGTTCAATTAGAAGGCTCAGACTTTCCGGTGGTAGTATGCGAGGCTGGGTGGGCAGAGAAACTGGAGGATTTAAAAACCGATGCCAAACTTTGGCTTCTAAACACCGGAGGTCAGACAAAATTTGTTATCATGACCTGCTTTACCGAAACCCATACAAAGAGCGAGACGGACCCAACCAGCGAGACAGACCCAACCAGCGAGGCATCAGAGGACGCGACAGGAACTGGGGGGGAGCAGTCAGGGGAGCGAGCACTCATAAAAAGCATAAATGAGTCGACAAAGCTTCGTGATCTCGCCACCCAGTTACTTGACCTGAATAAGCACGAGGAGCTGCGAACGCCCTTAATCGGGAAGTTACAAGCATCACTGTATGTCTATTGCGCCAACGAGGACTACAAGGACATCACCGAAGTATTTAGTACAGCAATTCTGCCCCCTCCACCTGCGAATTCCGGGGCGCCACGCCTATTTCAAATCACCATGAAGGACATCTTTGGCCAAGATGTTCCAAAGGATATGAAACCAACCGATCCGATAACGTTTAGCCTACCGGTCCTAGGAAAATTAATTGAAAAATCCCTGCCCGGCACGGCACGGTATAGGGCCAATCGACGGGGAAAAAAACTGCTAAAAGCAGCGGGTGTATGGGAACAATGTGACACGTTTGCACAGAGCAAGCGTCGGAGAAAGGACGGAGCTTAAGGACAAGCCGGGGAAACGCTTTTGTTGTGGTTTGAAATCCTGTTCCGCTTAGCTATAGATTTGTTAGACTTGGGCTTAATGTGAATTTACCTGGATGGTCTGGGTTGGGAGATTCGGAATTTTGATGTTCGAGGGAGGCAAAAGTTGGGTTGTAGGAGGGGTGAGCTATGTGCTCTAATAAGTTCGAGTAGCTTTGTGGTCATGCGGCTTAAGCGGGTGGGACGCAAAATGCCTTTCGCGGGGTGCAAAGTGAGCGGTGGTATCACAGAAGCGTTGTACTCGTGCTGCATTTGTGTCGAAGCCGGATGTACTCTCGAGGGTGGGCTAGCACAGCGGAGTAGTCTAGTACCGATGGCTTTATGAACAATGGAAATGAATCCAGATTAGTATCCGAGGGCAAGGAATGTGTAACACTATACAATTATAGCTTTCGGAAATGCGCTGAGGATTCGGCCATATGGCCACGGCTTCGGGTCTGGGTTTGTCTTTAGAAATGGGCTACGGATTCGGGCATACGGCTTCCGGTTCTAGTGTGTGCTTGGACGTTCGGGAAAGCATCCCCTATGCAGGAATGCGGCTATCGGAACGGAAGCGGAGAGGCTGTAAGGACAGCCGGAAGGAAATCAAAAGGGTTGTAAAAGGGTTTTGCACCCTGATGAAAAGATGTGGAGGTTGTGAGAAGCGGTGATTGTTTTTTCTGTTGTCAGCCGGGGAGTTATGAAAAAAGAAGGGGAATTCCAACGTCCTAGCACATTTCTCTTGTATTTGAGTTCTTACGGTATCTGTCCATCATTTCGGGACTGACTAGCTATAGAGAAAGAATGAGGAAGGAAAAATATTTGTATCATTTTTTAGAAAAGGGAAAGAGAGAGGGGGGGGGATAAAATCAGACTACGGTGTACTGTTTCTATCGCCGTGAGACACTAATGTATTTTTTCTAGCCAAGGTTTCTCCCCTCTAGGGAATACATCCATCTAACAAGTGTGCGGGGTCAATCGCCTAAGGATGAGTGAAGCCTGATCCGACAACACGACGGTACTCCCTCTGCCTCACCCTCCTCAAGAAGGCGAAGCGGTGCCTATTTCGCTGAACCTCAAATTGATCTTGGTCCGGCATCTGGCGCCGAAGGCTCTCTGGGAGTCTAGCTCTCAAGCCGCCATGATACATATCGATATCGGCAGCCGTGGTATTGGTGGGGGCGATAGGTGGGGCGGCGGGGGAGCTCTCGACCTGGGTACGAAGGTCAGAGCCAGAGGCTGGGCTGGCAGGGGCTGTGGGAGAGGCCCCGGTGGGGATAGTCGTGATTGGCATGGGGCGGGTAGCTCGTGTGGAGTTGACTCTATACGGGTCGCGGGGGAGGCGGTTAGGTGGATCTGTGGTTTCAATACCACCGAGGTCTTCAGGTGATGCCTGGGTTGAGCCTAAAAGGAATTGTCAACTATGAGTTATTTGAGAGGCTGATATAGGGGCCGTTGATGATAGAATGATACTCACAAAGAAATTCGCAGAGAGGGAAATGTGACCAACAAGACGGCTAGAATTTTCCGCCATACTATTAATCATGGCGTCGGCGGCACTCGCCAACCCATCCCCCAGGGCGATGGAAAGGCGAAAAAGAGTGGTAGCTCCGACGTGCTCATCTCCGTTAGCAGAACCTTCGATCCCCCCCCGCCCACCGCTTCTACCCATTGCGCGGTAGAGGTCTGCAAGGTCCTCGTCATGGAAAGATTGCTCCATCATGTGGATGACGACAGGACAGTTGAGGTGACTAGCGTGTACTCCCAGCTTCCCGCAGAAACAGCAGGATTTTGCGGCACATCGGATGCAGGTTCGCACACCCTGCGAGTCGATACGAGCTTGCGGGATGAAGGACCTGCATTCGTAGATTGGGCAGTAAAGTGGGTACTCATGGTAGAGCCTTTCGTGATCCGAACGGATGATGACCCTGGTAGGCATGATGAATCTGTTTTTTTAAAAAAAAAATCAGGAAATTTCACTATCATGTGATGGGGGTTTTCAAAGTCGGATTTCTTACACTGGGATAGAGAGAGTGTGGGTTACGGCGGGTCATGTAGACATCGAGTGCAAAAAAAACTTAAGCGAGGTGTTGGTAGCAATCCAAGGCCGGGTAACCACACCCACAATACTTAGGATGCCCACACCCGCAAAATTAATTGAAGAGAGAGAGAGAGAGATATACATATTATTGAGGTTAGTTGATAAAATAATAATTTATAAAAATATAACTTGAATATTTAATAGATTACATGCATAGCTGAACCGAAGCCAGATATTTTGTATGGAAGTTGATGCCTTAGATATCCAGCTCTAAGCACAAACTACTGAGTAGTATGAGTGGCTACAGAATCTGTGACAGATAATAAATGGAATATAATAGTAGATAATGATTCCTGATAATTGGGATCATCAGAAGCATCAGGTTCTAAAAACTCATTATCAGATATACTAGACTCTTCACTATCTGCCATTATTAGTACTTGAGATTCTTGAGGAATACTCTCACAAAGATCAGGGTTAGTGTTCCAGAAGCTGGAACCAGAGCTGGTGCTCAGTTAATTTAGTTTGTTTTATGTTTTGTTTTAAGTATCAGTTGATACTTAGTTTGTTTTATGTTTTGTTTTAAGTATTGGTTAATACTTAGTTTGTTTTATATTTTGTTATAAGTATTGGTTGATACTTGGTTAGTTTTACAGCTTGATTGAGTAAGAACATGAGTGAGAATTCATGATCATACTCAAACACATGTACTTAAAAAGACCACCATCTTCCACTTTGGAAATGGCAGACTTTGACAGATAGTATTCTAATATACTTGGTTGAACTGTTATCTTTATTTTCCTATTATATCAGCAAAGCCTTCCTTAGCGAGCTTAAGAATTGTTAATCTCTAGTAGATTATCATTCTGCTCCTATTGTACCCAACGATGTGACTAACACCCCAGTGTGAACATGTTACAGAAGCCATCTTTCTGTACTATGTCAGTATAATTATCTTTAAATAAAAATTAACAGAATAATTTTTACTCAGTAAAGTAGAGAAAACTCTTAGCAAAAATCTCTTGGGAAAGTAGTGAAAACTCTTGGCAAAGTAGCGAAAAACTCTTGGCAAAGTAGTGAAAACTCTCAGCAGAGTAGTGAAAAAACTCTTGGTAAAGTATTGAAAAACTCTTAGCAATATGACTAACAGCTGTACTATAAAAGTCTTGGCAAAGTAGCAAAAAACTCTTGGCAAAGGAGCCAAAACTCTCAGCAGGTCACCATAGTGAAAAAACTCTTGGTAAAGTAGTAAAAAACTTTCAGCAATACTAGTGTAGCCAAAAGCTGTAGTATAAAGTCTTGGCAAAGCAGCAAAAAACTCTGGGCAATGTATCAAAAAACTCTCAGCAAAGGAGCGAAAAATTCTTGGCAAGGTAGTGAAAATAACTCTCAGTAGGGTAGTGAAATGCCAGTACTCTTGGTTAGGTCAGTAAAAATTCTTGGTAAAGTTATCTTAGGGCTTAACCCTAATGTCTTCAGACACAATATAATGTATTACCTCTGCAGGGTCAACTATAGCCTAGAGAAGTAACTTAGGGGAAAGCTTAAAGAAAACACTGGATAGGAATAATAAAAGATAGAGAAACTATAGCTAGACAAGGACCACGTAATGCAATCTCTTTGTTTTTGCTTTTGACTAGTTTCTCTATTGTTAGTATTGGTTGGGTTGTTTGTGGAGGTGATGTTGTCATGGTCAGGAGCTGGGGCAATGCCTGTGTGGTTCTACTTCGGTTAGTTACCCAGTCTTGAGTTGCTACTGATGCCACACTTAAGTTTTTTTGCACTCGATGTCTACATGACCTGCTGTAGTGCGTGGATGGTGTGAATGTAAATTATGGAAGAGGGGTGAGTATCGGACTTGCTAAACTAGCGAAATGTATGAAGTAGTCAAGGACGGTACTCATGCCAAAGTTATGACTAAGCATCACAACCTGGGACACTCAGAGAGTGCCTGCCAGCTTAACATGACTTGCCAGCTCAACATGACTTGTGGCTCAACTTAACTTTTTATAGCTCAACATAGTATTATCTACCATTATAGTTTTGCAACTTAATACAGTTTTTTATGGAGCTCAATGGATTCTTGCCATTCAACTTAAATGTATTTATTTCTTTGCAGCTCAATGGAATATTATTATTCAACTCAAACATCTATATTTCTCTGTAGATCAATGGAATATTGCTATTCAACTTAAGCGTATTTATTTCTTTATTAATCAAGGGAATATAGTTATTGAACTTCAATGACTTTCTATAGTAGAACAACAATATTAAGGTCTATGGTTCCTATTATGCTATTTTCTATTTGTTTATATCAAATGTGAGGTATAAGTACTGTAGTTATAACTTAAAGACTCTCTTTTCAGTTATGTTTTAAAACCCCTCTACAAGCTACTCAATTCTTCTTCATTTCATTTGATATTCTATTTGTAATCTCCAATTTTACCTATTCATTTCCAATTATGCCTCCAGTTCCATTGACGATTAAGCTCCCTAGCTAGTGGGTTGAGCCATACAAGGATACTGAAACCGGAATACAGGCTGCTCTTACATCTCTTGAGAGATTGGAAAACGAGAACTAAATCTTACAGCCCTAGCATGCCAGTATGAGATTCCAGTTTCACGACTTCGAGTACATTGGCAAGGAATTCCCTGGGAGCAAGATAGACCTGCCACTAATTGAAAACTTTCTGAGAATCAAGAATTACCTGTCTGTCAATATCTTAATTGATTGAATGCTATCGAAACCAGTGCCTATTTCTAAATGCTTTTAGGTTGTGTAAATGCAATCCTGAAAAATCCACATATAGGTCCACTTCCTATACCAGTTGTAGGTGAACACTGGGTGCAACAGTTCCTGACTCATTATCCTGATGTCACAAACTGTGACTAAGCAAGGCAGATTTTACATAGCTCAGAATTCCGAGCTATAGGTATGTTGGAATTTCACATGACGCATACTAGTACACCATAGGTTATTATGTTTACCTGTTCATGACTCACAATTGTGAGTCATATGATATTATAACTTTTGCACATAACTCAATTTATGAGTCATGGGTTTCACTCAGGTGACGCGAATTGATAAACACCTGACTTGATTATTATGTTTTGATTGGTTTTAGGTATGTTGCGCAGCAACTCATAGGAGTCGGCTGATAGATTTCACGTGACTCATAGTTATGAGTCACAGGGTTCGCGTGACATGAGATATGCTTCATGCCAGGTGAAGAACTACTATATAAGGGATCACTAGAACCTCGAGTATTAGTTCTTCATATCTTCTTCTTGTTTATTTCCTACCTTTAAGTTATTACAATAAAACCTACCTTTACACTCTTTAAGATTTATCTTAAGAAACCCAAGAATTGTCTTTCCTCCCAAGTGGGAAAACTATTTCTTGTCCCATGTCGAACGATTAAGTCCTAAACGAGGACTTAAGAAGATTAGAGGAATACGCATGAAAGATAGAAGTCAAAGGACTTGACTATCAATATCATGTAGGCATCAGCATAAGAACTACTACCTTGCTCCATGTTAAGTATCGTTACCTGTCGCACCTCAGTGCCCGGTAGGATTCTTAACACCTGATTATGCAATTCAAAAACAACATACAATTGATGCTGATAGAAAGAATGCTTATCAGCCTGATAAAATACAAGATTGGTTTGCACGATATAAGGCTGTTTAGAAGAGATATAGTATTGAAATTAGTGATTACTATAATTTAAATGAAACTGGCTTCAGAATTGGAATTGGGTGTGACCAGTAGATTATTACCAGAGACCCCACAAGACAGTCATATTTGGCAAGCTCAACAAGCTGAGAACTTGTCTCTATTTGTGAAACAATTAGTAGAGATGGAGTAGTTCTACCTCCATTGGTTATTATCCCTAGTATTATTCATCAGGAATCCTGGTATACAGTGATATCAATACCTGACAATTATCTCATTGGCATATCAGAAACTGGATACAGCAATGATGAGTTGTCAATGAAATGGTTAGAACATTTTCAGCATTTTTCTCAAGAGCAAAAAGTTGGTACCTATCATCTTTTGCTTTTTGATGGCTTTGGATTGTACTGTACCAAGGAATTTATTGATTACTGCAATCAGCATAAGATTATTATCTTTTGTCTACCTCCTCATACCAGTTATCCCCTTCAACCTCTCAATGTTGTTGTATTCCAGCCCTATAGCTATTACCATACTGAGGCTGTTGGGGCCGCCACCCATACTGGCTGTGGCGAGTTTAATAAGATAGAATTTCTTGATAGTATTGACTCTATCCAACAACTGACATTTAAACCAACAATAATTCGATCTGCATTCAAGGCTACTGGCCTTATTCCCTTCAACCCTAATGTTATTGTATCTAAGCTACGAGAGACTATTATGCCTAGAAATAGTCCTGTCATACCACCACGAGGATCGTCACCTACAATTCCTCTCACAGTCCATAGCCTGAAATGAATGTGTGAGGAGTTGTAGCAGGATGCAAGAGACTCGGGTTTGTCACCAACCTTTCAGAAAAAGCTAAGAATGGTGTTACAAGGAGGATTAGTTCAAGCCCAGTCAGGAGCTTTAGTAAAGAAATATATGGAGCACATTCAGCCAGCTGAAGAAGCAAGGTCTGCAAGGCGTAAGGTGCAAAACCGGAGGCAGATCTAAAAAGGAGGTGTTCTTTATGCCTCACAAGCTCATCAAATGGTAAAAAATCGGGAAGATGCTAAGTTGGAAAAGGCAGAGAATCAACTATAGTGGGCTCAGAATGCCAAGAAAAGGCTTGAGCATGCTGAGCAAAAGCCTCTCATAGATGAGATGAGATTGTATATGAAAAAAAGGCGAAATATTCAAGCCTATAAAAAAGAGATAGCAAAACTTATTGTTGCAGGGA